TTCCTCTAGGTCTTCAAATTTGTTAGAGTACAATTTTTCATAGTATTCTGTTATGACTTTTTTAATTTCAGTTGGGTCTGTTGTGATATCACCCTTCTCATTTCTTATACGGGTTATTTGCTTCCTCTCCTGTTTTCTTTTGTCAGTTTGGCCAATGGTTTATCAATTTTGTTGATCATTTCAAAGAACCAGCTTTTGGTCTTGTTAACTCTTTTGATTGTTTTTCTATTCTCTCTTTCATTTAATTCTGCTCTAATTCTTATTATTTCCTTTCTTCTGGCACCCAGGGGCTTCTTTTGCTGCTGTCTTTCTGCTTGTTCCAGTTGTAGGGTTAATGTTTTGATTTTGATGCTTTCTTCTTGGATGTGTTCATTTATTGCTATAAAATGACCTCTGAGCACTGCTTTTGCTATGTCCCAAAGGTTCTGGTAGGATGTGTTTTCATTCTCGTTTGAGTCTATGAATTTCTTTATTCCATCCTTAATGTTTTCTATAACCCAGTAGTTTTTGAGCAAGGTGTCGTTCAGTTTCCGTGTGTTTGATTTTTTTCCTTGCTTTTTCTGTTATTGATTTCTACTTTTATGGCTTTATGGTCAGAAAAGACGCTTTGTAATATTTCGATGCTTTGGATTCTGTTAAGGCTTGCTTTATGGCCTAATATGTGGTCTATTCTGGAGAATATTCCATGTGCATTGGAAAAGAAATACTTGGCTGCTGTTGGGTAGAGTGTTCAGTATATGTCTATGAGATCAAGCTGGTTCACTGTAGCATTTAGATCTTCCGTGTCTTTACTGAACTTCTTTCTGGATGTTCTGTCCTTCACCGAAAGTGGTGTGTTGAAGTCTCCTACTACTATTGTGGAGCTGTCTGTCTCTCTTTTCAATGCCGTTAGAGTTTGTTTTATGTGTTTTGGATCCCTGTCACTGAGTGTGTAAATATTTATTATAGTTATGTTCTCCTGGTGTATTGACCCTTTAATCATCATATAGTGTCCTTCCTTATCCTTGTGGTGGCTTTTATTTTAAAGTCTATTTTGTCAGAGATTAATATTGCCACTCCTGCTCTTTTTTGAGTGTTGTTTGCTTGATACATATTTTTTACATCCTTTGAGTTTTAGTTTGTTTGTGTCTTTAAGTCTAAGGCGTGTCTATTATTGGCAGCATATAGATGGATCATGTTTTTTTATACAATCTGCCACTGTCTGTCTGTTTATTGGTACATTTAGTCCATTTACATTCAGTGTAATTATTGATAGGTATGAGTTTAGTGCTGTCATTTTGATATCTTTTTTGGTGTGTTGTTCACAGATTCTTTGTTCTACTTGATTTTCTGTGCTGAGTTGTTTTTCTTTATGTATTTTCTTTTCATCTTTTTCATTGTTGTTGATTTTGTATTTGCTGAGTCTTTATATTTTTCTTGTTTTTTATTTTGACTTGTAGGATTGTTAGTTTCCTTTGTGGTTACCTTAATATTTACCTGTATTTTTCTAAGTTTATACCAGTCTTTTATTTCTTTATATCACCTTGACTTCCTCTCCATATGAAAAATCTATGTCTACATTTTTTAAGTCCCTCTTTTCTGTTTTAATGTTGTCATCTTTTACATATTGACATCTGTTTCCCTATTTTCAGTGTTTTAGCTTTGATTTATTTTTGTGACTTCCCTATCTAGGTTGATATCTGGTTGCTCTGTCCTGTGTTCTACTCTTGGGTTGTTATCTAATGTTATTGATTTTGTAACCGGAGGACTCTCTTTAGTATTTCTTGTAATTTTGGTTTGGTTTTTGCAAATTCCCTAAACGTCTGTTTATCTGGAAATGCCCTAATTTCGCCATCATATATGGGAGACAGTTTTGCTGGATATATAATTCTCGTCTGGCAATTTTTTCCTTCAAGGCTTTATATATGTCATCCCATTGCTTTCTGGCCTGCATGGTTTCTGCTGAGTGGTCTGAGCTTAGTCTTATTGACTCTCCTTTGTAGATGACTTTTCATTTATCCCTAGCTGCTCTTAAAATTCTTTTTCTTTGGTTTTGGCAAGTTTGATTATATCTTGGTGACTTTCTTTTGGGATCTACCTTATGTGGGGTTCAATGAGCATCTAAGATAGATATCTTCTTATCTTTCATGATATCAGGGAAGTTTTCTGCCAACAAATCTTCAGTAATTCTCTCTGTATTTTCTGTTATTCCCCCCGTTCTGATACTCCAGTCACTCGTAGGTTATTCCTCTTGATAGGGTCCCACATAATTCTTAGGGTTTCTTCATTTTTTTTAATCTTTTTATCTGATTTTTTCTCAGATAAGTTGGTGTCTTGTGCTTTATCTTCAGTCTCACTAATTCTGACTTCCCTTACCTCGGTTCTGCTCCTATGACTTTCTATTGCATTGTCTAAATTCTGAAATTTTACTGTTAATCTTCTGGATTTCTGATTGCTGTCTCTCTATGGATTCTTGCAGCCTGTTAAATTTGTCATTATGCTCTTCTCTGATTTTCTTAAGTTCTTCTATTGCGTGTTCTCCATTGTGCTTAATTTCCTTCCTGATCTCTTGAAGAGTTCTGTATATTAATCTTTTGTATTCTGCCTCTGGTAATTCCAAGAAATTTTCTTCACCTGGAAAATTTCTGGATTCTTTATTTTGGGAGCCTGCTGACGTCATCCTGGTCTGCCTCTTTATGTGATTTAATATTAACTGTTGTCTCTGAGGCATCAGTAAGTTATTATATTTATTTATTTTATGTTTGTTTACTGTGTCCTAGCTTCTTATTTGTTTTGTTTTGATATGCCCAAATAGGCTGCCTGTGTGAGCTAGTTTGATTATTGGTGCCTTTGGAGCTCTAATGTCCTGTCACCAGGTAGTTAAATCTGTTACTACGTATGTGAGCCCATGATTCCATTAACTTTTCTTGTATGGATTCAACTCTGGTGTTCAGGTAGTCAGTCACCAAGTGTGTGGTACAGGCTCTCACCTACAGTCCTGGACAGGCATGGGTGATTGGTGTAGACACAGGTATCTGGCTGCAGTATGGGGTCACGCGCTGAGCAAGGCAGGGGGCTGACTGCTGCCCCTGAGTATCTGAAAGGAAAGTGTGTCCCTGTCCCCTAAAGCAAGTAGGTAGGTAGGTTTTGCAGCCAGACTATGAGCACCCAGTGCTGTTGGCTGTAAGTACTAGGGGGCACCTCTTATTCTTGGGCCCCTGTCGCAGGTAGCTAGGTGGCATGGGTGGAGCCACCAGTCCTCTGACCTGTGATGTGGGTAGGTGAAGACCCTGCTTAATTGGCAGATCAATGTCAAATGTCACGAACCTGTCACTTCACAGCTGAAACAGTTGAAGTCAGACTTTCAGGTATATACCCTGTTGTACTGTGGTAATGATGGCCTATGCTGTTGAAATGGGCCCACACAAGTCTATGCAGGTGGAAATGCACTCAAAGTCCATGGATCCCTTATGCCTGTGCCTAGGAAAAGGAGCTGTGCCTACCCTGAATTCCTGGCTTAGGGGAGCCGGCAGATTATGTTTTCCCCCAGTTGTTAATTTGTTCACTCTCTAAGGCTGGGAGAATGGCTCAGGGCGTGTGACAGGTCCTACTTCCAGCCCAGGTGACTCGGCAATTGCTGAAGCCGGTCCAGGACCCAGTGCAGAGTGGGGAGGTAAATGGGAGAGAAGTCTTTCTC